CATCGTCAGATCGACGTGCTTCCCTGGAGGCCGATTTGTCCTTACTACTTACGGACTCTAGCGATCGTACATGTGCACCACAGCATGGTCGATCTCATATTCAATAGCACGGTCACCTTTATTTGGTATCGCGTCTTGCAGAGCAAACGCGATGTCAATGCATAGCAACGAGTCATTACTCCCTTGTTATGCACCGTTCTTTCTAGTGTAATTTTGTTTTGTTGTTGGTCGAGTAGTCCATCGCATCACATAACAGTGTCATCCAACAACTTTCGTTTCCCTGGTTGTTGGGAAACACCGGTACCAAAGATGGCTTCACTTGCGATCTTGATATCAACAACTGCTATTTGAGAAGTCTCTTTTATAAGAGCTCTTTGCGCACCACTTTAGAAAGAGTTTTACCATCAAAAGTAGAGTTTGGACCAGTCGCATCACATGTTTGAGCGACACAACACTTGTTGTTGGTCCTTTATCGATATCCATTTCCGGATCATCGATCTTCTGTTTTGTCAACCTTGACCAGCGATCGTATCTACAGCCAATGTGGGCAATGTCGATGCGGCCTTATTCAATTCTTATATGAGGCAAAGTCTTGTGGAAGATTTTTTCCTTGAGTCTAGAGTCAGATGCGGCTCTGAACTCTTGCCTGATATCCAAAGGTGATCTTTGGACACTACCAGTCACTCCTGCACGGTCAACATATTGTATGACAGCGTGCAAGGTACAGGTTTCTCACTTGATGCTCTTCTTGCAGTGCCTGCACAATACTACTCAATGCTTACTCCATAAGAGGTAACGACCTGGGTTCAGTCTCCTGGTCAGCACAGGTCTTTGCAAAGTTGAAATCAGAGTCACCAAGTACAGTTTATATTATACTTGAGCCCGTTTTTGGCTTGCAAGATCTAAGTAGATCTAGTGAGTAGCATAGCGGACATTGTTGCGACAGCTTTGGTTGCGTCGCTTCATTTGTCATCCTTCTTCTAGCGCATTGGATGCATGATTGACATAATGCAATCCATAGTGAGGACCTTTATCTGTTGTCTCAACAACAGTGTCTTGACGTTGTTGAAGTCATATCACCTGGTACCACTTTGGTCCATACATCAATCCCTTCAACTTTAGTCTTCCTTCTTCATGTATTCATCCTTGTTGGTTATGCCAATCTGATGATATACACAGGTTGCGATTCTTTATCGCAAACTTGCAAAGCATAGTAGTCACGCTACTTGCTCGCTTGGATCGAACGATTGATCCTTGGAACTCATACCTCTTCTCGCAGTCATGTTCAATGCCATAGTTTGTACCACATATGGTACACTTTCTTGCGTTTGGTTGTCATGTACAGGTCCCTGCTCTTGTTTGAGCAAGGTCCGCACTAACAGGTGCTTTTTGATAGATGACAATATCTGTTTTTGCTCCGAACTTGCATTCAAAGTTCGAGCCTTTATTTGTCGCTTCCGTTATATTGAGTAGCAAGGTACAAGAGATTTGGGACGAAAAACGAGTACAATGACAAACATGGGGATTTTACAAGATGTGTGCGAATCTCTAGGTTAAACTATATAAACGTACGAATGACGGACACTCTCTGGTCCAATTAACGGTCCCCTCAAGGTGATACTGATGTATCAGAGAACCTTGTACTCCGAATTGGGCTAATCTCGACCGTGCCCCCTCTTGGGAGGACGTATCATCCAATACTGTCCAAGACTGACAATATCCGGCGACGGATGAAGACTTTTCCAAAAATTAAATCAAAAGAAATGTTCGATGAGACTGTTGGGATATGACGAAATATGAGTTTTTACGTTCCAAAAGAAACTATTCAAGTACGAGGTTTTCGACACGTGCAATCGGACTTTGATTGTGATGTCGGGATTTGACGTGAGTCTGCCGGACGCAAGTCTGTCGGACAATCTGTATCCACACAAACAGGAAAAGATCCTATACAAGTGGAATATTGATGCTGTATACGATGCAGTAGGGAATAATGCAAGATGTCCCAAAGTACTGCATTCAACACAGAATTGTTGTAGAAGTCGAATCGAGTTCTGTAAACAAGGTCGTTGAGCTCACTTTTGTGATTGAATCATCAATTCAAGCCAAACATTAATCAAATAGGAACAATTTCACTCAACGTATACCTTAACACAGGAGAACTATTGTCGTGAAAGTGTTGTACAGTCGATTACAAATTTAGATTGCAGAGAGTTTGTTCTGAGCGCTAAAGGCACTCACGATAGAGCACATTTTGCTTTATTCTAACATTCAATCACAAAAGGCAACAAAACAAATTTACGTCAAGAACAGCACTGCCTTATCTACAAAGGAGTGAGTGATTCGTTGACTATGGGACGTTCTTCTTCCGGTGGAGGAAAAGGACGTGTGACTCCTCAGAAAGTCAAGAGCAATTCGAGTTCAACAGTTGTGAAACATCTATTTTCAACGAGAGATGAAAATGATGGAAAGGCAAGATTGTCGTACAAAGATGCCAAAGAAAGAGTGATTGACTACATCCAAGCTTCTGGAATGAAATGTTCCGAAGACATGATGAAATCAATTTGAGATGGGAAGTCGATCGACTTCAATGCGGTCGCTCCAACATTGAATGCTCCAACTCAAACTGACGCTATTGCAAGAGAAACAGAGATGGCTCAAAACAAGATTCTCTATTCTGCAAAGCTTGACGAGAACATGCGAAGATCAGCCTACTTCAAAACAAACAAGCGAACTGTCAAATCAAACATCATGCTGAAGTTTGTGACAAAAGTGATGGATATCAAGCTTCAAGGTGAAGCCGATTTCACGACTACTCTTGAAGATCCAATCAAACTTTTGAAACGTATTGAACGATTCGTGAAGAAGAGTGCTGATGCTGAGTATGATTTCTTGGATTTCTGGGAAGCCAATCAAAAGTTCTTTGCTATGAAGCAAGGAACAACCGAAAACTTGATGCATTTCAAGGAACGATTCTTGAGACAGGCTGAAGTCATGCAAGATCTATATGGCGTTGCCTGGTTCCGAAATTTTGCAGTCAAGACGAAAGCATATGCTGTTATTGCTAGCACCGATACTACTGCTAAAGACAAGTTCAAGGATGATATCTTTGAAGCAGTTCTTGCAACAGGATTCCTGTGCAACTGTGATTGAACGAGAACAGCTCCTCTGATGCTGGATCTTCAGACGAACTATTGCAGGGAAGTGGATTATTATCCAAAGACGGCCAGCAAAGCACAAGATATGTTGAAGATTCACATGGATGTTTTGATCAAACCATATCTCATGTTCAACCACTTAGCAAATTCGTCATTTACTTTCAGATTCCAGTCAAGACGAAAGCATATGCTGCTATTGCTAGCACCGATACTACTGCTAAAGACAAGTTCAAGGATGATATCTTTGATGCAGTTCTTGCAACAGGATTCCTGTGCAACTGTGATCAAACGAGAACAGTTGCTCTGATGCTGGATCTTCAGATGAACTACTGCAGGGAAGTGGATTATTATCCAAAGACGGTCAGCAAAGCACAAGATATGTTGAAGATTCACATGGATGTGATCAAGAATCCGGGAGTGAACCTATACCAAGGAAAAGACCAACCTAATAAAGATAAAGGTAAAGGTAAAGGTAAAGGTAAGGTAAAGGTAAACCGAAGGACAATAAGAAAAAGGCAACATGTTATGTATGTGGCAAAGAGGATCATATGTCTCCAAAATGCCCAGAAAGACTGCTACCAGAGAGTCAACGGAAGCATCTGAAACACTATGTTGATTAAGGGAAGAAGCTCAAGCTTAATCAGATTGGAGCAACTGTCCCAACTACAGCTACAGTTCCTGGACCTTCTCCAGCGACAAGTGTGATCACGAGTGGAACATTGAGTGGTGCGGGAAGTGTTAACACACCTTTGCGACTTGCTGGTACTACAGGTACTCAAATGATCCAAGTTCCTACAGGTAATCAAATGATGCAAGTTCCTTCGGGAATGCAGCTCATGCAGATTCCAACTCAAGGTGGCGGCACTGTTACTGTCCCTTATTCAATGAATGCTAACGGTGAGATTGCGTTCAGTGGAATGCAACTCAGCCAACAAGGCTTCTGTGGTGCTCAAGTGCGCCAAGGATTCGATGCAACTCAAGCTCGAACTCCGCAAGTTGTGAAGACTGGCTATTTTGATACGTCAAATGTCTTTCACGATGCTATCAAGGGAAAGGATGAGAACGGCAATGATGTCTATCTTATTCCATGTCCTACTGGAACGACTAACGTCGAACTTCAATCCGACTGGCACTACGCTAGTAAAAGTGAAGACTTGCCTGATCTTGCTACTGAATCAGATCGAGGTATGCAGTTTATTCAAAGCCGCAGAATCGAAAGAGATCCGTTTGGTTTGCTCGATCACGTCATCATGGACAGTGGTTGCACCAACACCACCATTTGTAATGGTGAACTCATGCATGGACTATGTCAAGCTGAGAAAGAGCTCGATATGCACACTAACGTGGGCAGCAGAGTTCTTGATGAAGAAGGGTTTCTAGGACAATTTCCGCCTCCAGTCTATTATGATGAAGACGGAATTGCCAATGTACTTGCTATGCGCGAGATGATTGCTGCAGGATACCGCATTACCATGGATACTGATTTTGACAATGCCTTTGTTGTACATTGCGATGGAGACAGACAGATGCGATTTGTGAATCGTAAGGGTGTATATATGTTTGAGCAACTTGGAGCGGATGTCAACTGCAGCTGGAGACCACGAGCCTACAGCTGAGCGAAACAATCGGACAAGAGTCAGAGTAGCTCTTGCACGATTACCCTACAAAGTGGTACCAAAGGTGATCACTGAATGTCTTGGACGTCAAGCCGCCGAGCTATTGAATGTCTTTCCCCAGAAAGACAGTATTTTCTCACATTTCAGTCCGCAGCAGCTCATTGATAATGTCAATATCAACTACAAGAGTGACATGGTTGCTGAGCTTGGACAGTATGTTCATGCAATTGGGACGGATTCCAACAATTCGATGGAACCGCGAAGTATTGAAGCAATCTACATTGAACCTACGAAGGGACAACGTACAGGGCACCGAGTGCTCAACCTCAATACTAAGAAGATGATTTCTCGACCCAAGGTTGTCGTACTACCCGTTACCGATCAAGTAATCCAGCGTGTTGAAGCTTGGGCTGCTGCCAAAGGTGTTACTTCCATGAAGTTCTTTGATAAGAAGAGATTTGGACACATTTCAAGATGGCGATCAAATTGCAGGAGTGGATGACACGGAACAAGGTTACTTAGAGGAAGCCCCCTTTGATCAGGACTATGAACCTGAAGATGAAGATGAACGTGATTTGACGATGGAAAAGATGCTGTGGATAAGGAATTGAGACAAATGCTCCTGAGAGATTGTTTTACTCCCGAATTTGTGAAAGACATGACCGCGTCTGAGCGAAATAAGGCCCAATCAGCGATGATGTTACTTGCGGAAAAGCAATTTGAAAAGACAATTACAGGTCACCCAGTATACCAAGGCGATGGAACTCGTGAATGGTTATCGCGAGAGGACACTGCAAGTCCAACTGCTTTGCAAGAAGCAATCACCACTACTTGTGTTATTGATGCACACAAAGGTAGAGATATAATGACGATGGATGTACCTAACGCTTTCATTCAAACTTATATGCCTGAAGCTAAGGAAGGAGAAGATCGTATCTACATGAAAATCACTGGCATGATGGTCCAGATATTGATTGACATGGCCCCAGAGTATCGCGAATGCGTTGTATTAGAGAACGGAAAGCGAGTAATCTATGTGCGGGTACTTCGTGCTATATATGGGATGTTGCAATCAAGCCTCCTATTCTATAATCAGTTTTGAAGTGATTTGGAGGCAAAGGGATTTGTTTTCAATCCGTATGACCCGTGTGTTGCTAACAAAGTTGTTGAAGAAAAACAGCAAACGATCAGGTTTCATGTTGACAATCTTATGTCAAGTCACATGGATCCGAAAGGAAATGACGAATTTGCTAAGTGGTTGAACATGAGATCTGGTTCGATCAAGGTATGCACAATCGTCAGAGGAAAGATACATAGATATCTTGGAATGACTTTGGATTTCTCGGTGAAAGGAAAACTCAAGATCCGCATGGACGACTATGTCAAGAACATGTTGGAATATTTTCCTATCAAGTTCAACAAGGAATAAAAGCAGGAAACACCAGCTGGTAACGATTTACTGGAGGCTGGTAAAGGAAAGTTACTCAATGCTGAGTACCGTCAAATCTTTCATACTACTGTTGCAAGGGGACTTTATGTCTCTAGGAGAGCTTGTTTGGATATCCATCCAACAATTACTATTCTTGCCTCAAGAGTTTGAGAACCTACAGAGTCTGATTGGAAGAAGTGTGTTTGCATGATGCAATATTTGTTTTGTACATGGTTGTATCACCTGACACTTTCTGTAGAATCACTACGAGTCATGAAATGGATGATCGACGCATCTTTTGCGGTGCATCCAGATTTCAAGAGCCATACTGGCGGCACTCTGTCCTTTGGAGGAGGTGCAGCTCAAGTGATGTCGAAGAAACAAAAATTAAACAGCAGAAGCAGTATGGAAGCGGAACTGATTGCTGTTGACGATGTTGTCACGATGATACTATGGACGAAGTTGTTCATGGAGTGGCAAGGGTATCCGATCGAGAAGAATATCTTGTATCAGGATAACAAAAGCGCGATTCTACTGGAAGAGAATGGTCGCAAGAGCGCGGGCAAAAGAAGCCGAGCTATCAATATTCATTATTTCTTTATCACAGATCAAGTTGAGAAAGGAAATGTTAAGATCGAATACTGTCCAACTGACAATATGATTGCGGATTTCATGACTAAGCCATTGCAAGGTGAGAAGTTTCGCAAGTTCAGGGATCTGATTCTTGGTCCACAGGACTAGGTCAGACAAGTATGTATATGTTCAAAAGAAAATACAAAACAAGATAAACAGTGAATGAGAGCATGTCCCATTGCTGCCGATGGTGATTGTCACAATGGCAGGAGTGTAAAAACTATTCAAGTACAAGTTTTTGACAGGCACGATTGGATTCTTGATCTTGATGTTGGGATTCGACGCAAGTCTGTCGGACAATCTATATCCATACAAAAAGGGAAAGACCCAATACAAGTGGAATATATGGTGATCCAAATCGGCCACAATAGCTTCTTCCTCTTCATTGCCCTCATCACCCGAATTGTCATCATCTGATTCATAGTCATCATCTCCTTGGAATCTGACAGTGAGTTCTGGCATATCATTGACATAATTGTCTGCATCTGCCAAGAGCTCTTTTCTTTTGGAGTCATCAATATCATCGAATTGTCCACGTAGATTGAAATCACCTTCATCTTCATCTTCAGGTTCATAGTCCTGATCAAAGGCCTCTTCTAAGTAACCTTGTTCCGTGTCATCCACTCCTGCAATTTGATTGCCATCTTGAAATGTCTCCAAATCTCTCTTCTTATCGAAGAACTTGACAGAAGTAACACCTTCAGCAGTAGCCCAGGCTTCAACACGCTGGATCACTTGGTCGGTAACGGGTAGTACAATGACCTTGGGTCAAGAAATCGTTTTCTTAGTATTGAGGTTGAGCACTCGGTGCCCAGTACGTTGTCCCTTCGTAGGTTCAATGTAGATTGCTTCAATAATTTGCGGTTCCATCAAATTGTTGGAATCCTTCCCAATTGCATGAACATCCTGTCCAAGCTCAGCAACCATGTCACTCTTGTAGTTGATATTGACATTATCAATGAGTTGCTGCGGACTGAAATGTGAGGAAATACTGTCTTTCTGGGAAAAGACATTCAATAGCTCGGCGGCTTGACGTCCAAGACATTCAGTGATCACCTTTGGTACCACTTTGTAGGGTAATCGTGCAAGAGCTACTCTGACTCTCTCTTTCAGCGTTCGATTGTTTCGCTCAGCTGTAGGCTTGTGGTCTCCAGCTGCAGTCAGGTCAATAGTAACACCCATATCATCTAGCATATCATCTGTGAGAGGAATGAATGCCCGATCACACTTGATCGCCTTGACTTGAAAGCCTGCCTTGTTGTAGCGGCGAAATATCTTTTCCAATGCTTCAAATACAGGTTCAGTCTTGAGGTGCTGCATGAGAATACATGAGCGATAACGCACAGTGGTATCAATGCAGGTGAGAAACTTAGCATTCTCGATCTCCATGTGATCAATACAGACGGTAATTGTTCGATTATGTTGATACAATTCCTCTGGTGGATGAAGAAGTCATCGTGCCTTTCAAAGTAGATGCGTCAGGTCCAAAGATTGCTTCGGCATGATTGATCGCTTCTTCAGTGATAGGACAGTTCTTGATGAGACCAGATCGGGTCGCATACTTTAGACTTTTGGTGCTTGGAGCATTGAGTATGTGCATCACACTTCTTGCTTCCATCGCAGCCTTGACTTGTCTTGGAGTGAATCCTTCCTTGTTCTTTCGAACTGTTGCCATCTTCGCAGTCATCCGGAGTCCAGCATATCCATTCTGTTTTGAAGAAAGTTCGAAATGGGGTTGTTTATTTATGTTGCTTAACTGGTGACAATACATTGCACTTGTCTCTTTGGCACCTGGTTCGACATCCGCTCCAAGTTGCTCAAACACATATACACCCTTACGATTCACAAATCGCATCTGTCTGTCTCCATCGCAATGCACAACAAAGGCATTGTCAAAATCAGTATCCATGGTAATACAGTATCCCGCAGTAATCATCTCGCGCATAGCAAGTACATTGGCAATTCCGTTTTTATCATAATAGACTGGAGGCGGAAATTGTCCTAGAAAACCTTCTTCATCAAGAACTTTTAAAGTAGAGAATGATCGAATATTTTATCCAAGAAAAGGCCAAACTGATTTCACGCCATGTCGAATCAAAATGCCCCACAGCACGACCCGTATCAAGCATCCAACGTGAAATCCTGGATCCGCTTCCAAATACAGAGTCAAATTGATACCCATATTGGAATTCCTTGAACTTGGTTGCACAACAGCGTGACCAAACTTTCAAACCACCATGTGTTCCACATAGTCCCGTTACAATCACAAGAATTATAGCTACAAACGGCGAATTATCCACGTTGGCTTGCTCTGTTTTATCGCAAACTTGAAATTTCCAATGCTCTTGCCTCTTGCCACACTTGTCTTAGCTGATGAAGCCTCGGCGAAAGCTACTTTCGCTTCAATAGCTTTGGTCAAGACTGGCCTTTTCTTGGATAAAATATTAGATCATTCTCTACTTTAAAAGATTTATCATCGATCAATAATGTCTGCGACCGGCACTCTTAACAACAAACGCACCAGATTTGCAGCTGACAACGAAACACAGCAAATTCCGAGCACCACACCCTTGGAAGCCGCAAAATGTGTTGGAATCTCTGCGTTGACTGCCATCGGATCGCTCCAAGAACCGCAAACCACCTTTTTCCTTGAGCTTCATTCTGAGTTCCTCAAAATCAAGAAAGCTCTGGAGAACCTGCACAAACGAAAAACAACACTCCAAAAGACTGCCCATATCGTCAGTTCAACAAAATTCAAATTTGAGCCAACTGCCTCAGCCCGACTTCTTGAAGATGACAAAGCAGGAGTCGACGCTATTAAGTTGCAATGCGATAGTATCA